GTTTAGAGTGTGACTGTTTGAGGTTGTGGACAGGTATCTTTTATACTGATTCAAACAGGTGCCATTAATGAAGGTAACGAGTGGAGGACAGAGGAGCCTCTTACAGAAGAAGTTACAGGTCTGTGAGAGCCAGGAATCTTGCTTGTTTGTAACTGACCAAATACTTATTTTCCAACATATTTTGCAAATAAATTCTTTAAAAATCAGACTATGTGATTTTCTGGATTTTTTTTCTCATTTTGTCTCTCATAGTTGAGGTATATCTATGATGAAAATTACTGGCCTCTCTCATCTTTTTGAGTTGGAGAACTTGCACTATTGGTGGCTGACTAAATACTTTTTTGCCCCACTGTATATAGTGAGATGGTCATGTTAAGACTTCATCTCAAAGATATCAAAGTATAATACTGAGTTTCTCAAGGGTTGGGGTCAACTCAGTAGATCGTCTATGACTGTGGAAATGAAACACCCTGTGATACTGACCAAAAGTCTCCATATTTCAGATCTTCTTCTGAGACATATTAATCAGCACGTAGGACATGGAGGCTGAAATCAAATGTTGTCCAAATTGAGAGAGAGATACTGGATAACTGGTGCAACTACAGGTATAAGGAAAGTGCTATCAAAGTGTATTACCTGTTGACACCTTAATGCTATGACAGTTTGACAACAGATGGCAGATTTACCCAATGAAAGAATTGTTCTGGGTGAGCCACCATTTACTCGTGTTGGAGAACATTACTTTGGACCTTTTGAAGTAAAAAGTAGAAGAAACATGGTCAAAAGATATGGTGTAATTTTTACCTGCCTTGCCATCAGAGCAGTTCACATTGAGGTTGGACCATCCCTGCACACTGATTCTTTCACCAATGTATTTAGATGCTTTGTTGCAAGAAGATACCAAGTTCAAGAACTTTGTTCTGATAATGGTACCAACTTTATAGGAGCAGAGCAAGAACTGAGGACAGCTATTGAACAGTGGAACAAGGAGCAGATTATGGATGTTATGATACAAAAGGGAATAAAATGGAACTTTAATCCACCAGCTGGTTCACACCATGGCGGATCATGGGAACGGTTGATAAGATCTATCCGCAAAGTACTAAACTCCACCTTAAGAGCAAAAACCCTTGATGAGGATGGCTTGCACACAGTTCTTTGTGAAGCTGAAGCCATCATCAACGGCCGACCAATCACAAAGGCCTCAATGGATGTGAATGACCTGGAAGCACTAACTCCTATTGTTAAAAACCTGTCCATCCGTACCACCAGGTATGTTCCAACCAACGGACATATATGCACACAGAAGATGAAAGCCGGTCCAATATATGTCTGATCTTTTTGGAAGAGATGGGTGAAAGAATATTTACCTCAGTTGCAGGAGTGCCAGAAATGGACAAGAGTAAAGAGAAACATAGATGTAGGAGACCTTGTTCTCATTATGGACAGCACAGCACCTCAAAACTCATGGTTGATGGGTTGAGTGATTCAAACATTCCCAGACCAAAGTTGGTTTCGTCAGATGCGAATAAAAACTCGGACTAGCTGCTTGGACAGGCCCATTACAAAGGTTTGTTTGGGGCAGGAGGCTGAGGATACTTATGGACGAACTAGCCTTAACAGCGACGAAGGATATTGTGGACTCTATGGATTTTTGCAGAAGGCTATTCATTACTTTTCTACTTGGATTTTCTATATTCATTCTATTTTTTTTTTACTATGGATTTGTTGTTTGACTTCTGACTTCATCACGAACAACGGATAATTCCATGTGGATTAAAATTATTAGTATTACTGATGGACACTAACTCCTAAGTTTTGAAAAATGTTGGTTATTATTGTTGCTTTTATGTCACCTATTCATTAATGGTAATTTGTAATTATTGAATAATAAGCGGAGCGGGGTAGCCATATTTCTTGTTGACCGTTTGTTTTATCATCTAAATCAGTATGTCACATCATGTACATTACAATCTGTTGTGAGTGACTATATAAAGAACTGGACAGTATTAAAACACCAAAAACGTATTCCTGGATTCCGTGTGTATTTCTGATCAAGACGACAGCGCATCATGCACACACAAAGATTCCTATGGATTCGCTACAATTTATGTTTAACCGTCTTAGAAAGATTGACTTTTCAAGGTTGGGAAAGATCACTGGTGTTCTCCAGCACTACCATCCATGTTAATTCTGTAAACACATAGCATGCTTGCTTGTGACGCCATTGCATCCTCTACTGTGCATGCGGGACACTTAGGTTGTATGAATGCAGTTCACACAGGAGATCACATACAAGTCACATATATTTGGAAATGTGAACAGCAACGCAAAAAAAAAAAAATCGGATTTAAAATCGGAATTGAGCATCAAGGCCTGCTGTGTGAACGCCGCCTTACTTTGGTGGTCCAGTCCACAGCATACAAAAGCAGAAATTGATGTTTGTAGTGTACACAGAGACACTTTGAAATACTTCTAGCTCTACCTAAGCTTCCTGTCAGTTTTAACAAGCTGCTTGGACTTTGCAGACAAGCAGTTGCCCCATTTTATACTAGTTTCATTTTGGCTAAACTACTGAATCCCATTCACAGACACATTGTAACTAAAACCTCCTAGGTAGTGATATCGGGCTGATTTTTTCTGCTTAGAAGAAGGGAGAAAATGACTGCAAGCCATTTCTTAAATATCTGCAGGATAATTACACGTTAGCTTTGATGACTAATGAATGACATATATTGGACAAATGGCAAATCCATCACATGTCTAAAAGAAGACTTTTTTTTTTTTAAAGAACTCTTATTCAATTTTGGTTGGGAAGTTCTGTGGAGCCCAAGCTAACATTCGTACCTTACCTATTAGTATGCAGTACCAAAGCCTATACCTCTGGTACTAACTATGCTAGTTTAGGTGCAAACATCAATTTATGCTCAAAGAGAGCAACATTTAATCAGTATAACTTAATGCTAGGTAAAATGGACAGAAGACATTTATTTCCAACATTTTATTAGATGTCTTTAGAGACATGTCTGAACCCAGTTACAAATGTTTCAACATCACTTGTGTAATATCCTTCATCAGCAAAGATGACAAAATGCTAATAGTAACAATTATCACACAGACTTGGATGACAGAAACAACAAAGGGGTACAAAAGTGCTTTTTTCGTTGTAGAATAAAACAACATAAGGTACTAGAAGAACTCCTTCCAACAATTTGCATTTAGTTAAATTGATTTTATACATTTAAGCATTTAAAAAAAACTTAAAGTTTTTCAATTCGCATCCCTTCACATTGTGTAAGAACATTTTTTAGTTTTCTCACAACCTACCCTGTCTAAAGGTGTCCTCCAGAACATAACCAGAAGTGCTTTAGTAGAAGGCATCTGGACTCCAGCTCTTGTTTCAACTGTTTTAAATGCCAGGATAGTGACTCTACCTTGGAATTTACACTTGGACAGTGTGACTGTTCCTATGGAGACTTACAGTATAATCCAGTTACATCCAGCTATGTTCAGAAATTAATTAGCCCTCCGCTGATGCACCAAAAAAAAAAAAAAAAAAGAGAATTCCAGTTGCCTTTTACTTAAGCATCCATTAAAACAACCTATTGTGCATCTTCTGTTAGCACCATACACAAATAAAAAAACAAGAAAACAAACTCGATTTAGGTATAAAAAGAAACAAAGAAAATCCTTCTACCAAACCCCAGTAGTAAACAGAACCAACTTGATTTCGTATTCCTCCATTTTCAAATGACTGATTTTGTAGGTTAACTTTCACAAAGCCCCCCAACACACCCATAACATCACTTTTATAATCATATATACCATGGACCCACTCCAAATGATCCCCAAGAAAAAGCAAAATGAGTGGACTTTCTCAAACTTATAATCAACCCTTGGTGATCTTCTTCTAGTTCCCCACCATGTTTGGCAGGACGCTTGCATCCTCCTCTACATCCTGGGTCACAGTCTTCCCAACCAGCTTGAAGATCTCCCCAGCTGGGATTCCAATTGGCTCAGCCGCCTTAACCCCCAACATGTCCAGAGTTAGGACCGTTCCTTTGGGGATCTTCACCTTAGCCACCACAGACTTTCCCAGCTGGAGGCACAGGAATTAAGAGGAAAGCTTGTTATTGTCTGGAACTAATACACATCAGAATGTGTCTTTTAGGCAATGCCTTTCTGTTAATCTGACCAAGTAGAAAGCTAAACTGACCTTGCTGTGCAACACTTTCTCACCAGGCAACATCTGCTTGATTCTACTTCCCATGGCCTTCTCCACCAGACGAATGGAGCGAATCAGCTCAGCCAGTTCAGAGGGTTCCAGTGATGCCCCATGATCACTGCCTTTCCAAGTTTTATCCAGCGTTACATGTCGCTCAATCACCTTAGCTCCCAGAGCTGCAGCTGCCACTGAGATTGCGATTCCAGTCTCATGACCCGAATATCCAATGGGAATATCTGGAAACTCCTTCTGATATTCCTGCAGTCAAAAAGGTGATAGTGTATGTGGTTTAAAAACAACTTATGAAAGCACTTCCAGCTGTAGCTCAGTTTCTTTATCATTCCAATGGAGGACTGCCCAATATTGATATATTGATACACTGAATAATCATGCACAATAAGCTATTTACCGTGATCACTCTGAGGTTGACATCTTCAGGGTCCAGAGGGTATGTGCTGGTGCACTGCAAGATGGTGAAGTTTTGATTGTGCTGCTTCACTGTCTTGTACACCTGACGGATTGTCTCCATTGACTGCATCCCAGTGGACACAACCATGGGACGGCCTGATAAGAGAATAAGAGCTTAATCAGCCCTTTTTCAGTGCCTTATACAGTACATAAAAATAAACATATTATCAGATGATATTTAATAGTCATAGTGGCTTCTCAAAGTGCTCCCTTTTTGTTTACCTGTCAAACATTGCATATAAAAAAACACATTGTATCTTTAGACATAGATAACATGAGCAAATGCAAACAGCTGATCTTATATCTTTCTTTTTCGGTGGGACACATTTTGCTGCTGATTGATAACTTATTTTTCTCTTCATGTTGTCAGACAAGTTACAATTAAAGGTATAGTGAGGAGGATCTTCCTTTTCTGGTGGATCATCAAAATAAGTGTTCCTCCTAATTGTCAAACATGCTGGTGACATGTTTACCTAAGGCTGTCCTAAATGCCCGTCCCCATTTTCACTTACCGGTGGTGACAAAGACATAGTGGAAAAATTGCAAATCTTCTTTTGGAAAGTAAGTTTGTATGAGTGATGCAGACAGCAACAAGAAATGTGCTTGTGCATGCTCTAGCATGCCTTTAGGTGTTCTCTCTCGGGAGCCGTTATTGTCTTGTGCATGTGTATTTTTTATAGAGAGGGTGGATCTTTTTCAAAATTCGCTGAAATCCTTCACAATACCTTTAAGTAATTCCTCATTTCTAAAGATTTGGGTGTCATTAGGCCTGGGTGCAGCTTGTGAGCTTCATTTTCCAGAGGTAAATCCCATTAAAAGTATTTTTTTAAAAGGTTTTACATGTGACCAAGTTGGTAAGGAAGGTTATTTAGCTCAATAAATGGAAAAATGGAAAAAAATGGGGAAAAAACTGTCAGCCTACTGTCCATAAGACAAGCTACTAGACACTCTTTCTCTTACGATTCTCGGCCATTTTCAAAGAACCCCGGTGAGAAAGGTGAGCTTCAATGACTGTCTGACACCATAGCACACCACACATACTGTATACACGTGAAAGTGTGCATGCGCAGAAAAACATAGGACGAGTACATAGGATGGCCTTACGTAAACATATCACCAGCATGATTGACAATTAGGAGGACCACTCCTTTTGATAATCCACCAGGAAATAAAAGATCATTCTCTGTATCTTTAAGTTTTTTAAAATTCCACATAAAATTCCAACGCTTGGCTGGTTAGTTGCATTTGGTTCTCACCTTTCTTGGCTGTCTTCTCAAGATATGGAAAGTTGTCGGCATCTGCAGATGCTACTTTGATAAAAGGGACATTGATTTCATGGAGAAACTCCACAGCCATCTGAAACGTACAGATACAGGTTAAAGCTCTGATCAGAATAATCATGACCTTTTAATCAAAAGTCTGTTACCTCGTCCATCCCTGAGGCAGTGAAGAAGATCCCCACTTCTGTTGCATATTTCTGCAGCTCCCTGTACTGCTCATGGCTGAATTCTAGGTGGCGCTTGTGCTCACCATAAGTTTTCCCCCAGGAGTTCTTGGAGGTGTATGGACGCTCTAAGGCCTGCTTGTTAAACCTCACCTCCAACTCACTTTTCTGGAATTTGGCACAATCAGCACCACAGTCCTATAAAAGAGGAGGTAAAACATATAAAACATACATGTTGGATTTGATATTTTTAGATAAACACAAGGAACATGTGACTTTTAAAAAAGCAAGTACGCAAATGATAAGCAAACTTAAAGGGGAACGCCGTTTTTTTTTTTTACATTTGGCCCTTGATTTTATGTTATTACATCATGTTCTACTCACCCATATGAGTTTTGTGTCATTTGAAGCTGTTCTGAAGATATTCGGTTAGGTTATATCCAAGTAAGGTCTTCCTATGGGCAACGACTTGAAGGCACAAACTAAACTGTTCATAATTCATTATTTATGGGACGCCAGCATTCATGACATGTAGGCGAATCACTGTCCCCAAGACATCCGCTGTTATATTTTTTATATTTATATCTTTTAAACACAAAGCGGAGTGTGAATGACATCATCCGTGCACGCCAGCTACCATTTATTCATCCTCTCCGCTGAACTGCTGCTAGTTTTGCTCTCATGAAGATGTCTAGTGCTACTACCACAGATGATCTCGCTCTAGAAATGGAACAATTCAGATTAGCTAGCCGAATGAATAGAAGGGGTAGACCTAGCCGCCTGTGGCCCGAGCTTCCTGTTACGACTCCAATCTTGGTAGGTCTAGCTTTTTAACTTAAAAAATGAACCAAGAAAAAACATACAGGGTCATGACATCATTATGTGTCAATTTGAGTTATGTGTAAGTTTAGTGTTGTGCATTTCTGACTTAAAAAACAAAACAAAAGAAAACTTAAACCAACTTTTTTGCTCTTTAATCTAAACATTTACTAAAGCTTTAAATGGTAAATTTGAAATTTTGGTTTCTAGTGTTCTTGATTTTTATTTCTTTTATTTTTGCTCCATTTTCTTGCTTTAGTCCTGTCTGTGTACAACGGAGTATTAGGGCTGAACAAAAAATAAATAAATAAAAAATAATGAAGATAAAGTCGTACTATTTAGACTTTAATCTGGTAATATTAGGTGTTTAATCTCGTAATATTATGACTGTATTCTCCTAATGAGAGTCTAATTCTAAGTCTCTAATATTACGACTTTAAAATTACCCATCTCAAAATTTACTCAAGTAAAAGTACAAAATTACTTTGTTTAAAATGTAATTTGAGTAAAAGTTACTTAGTTACTTTGAGTTATTTAATGCAAAAAAGGATGAGTCATGAATCGAATTGAGCACAAGGTGTTTTAATCGATTTCAAGGTGTATTTCAGTGGACATCCACACTTGCAAAAGATCAGCTGGGCTAAGGAACATACTTCCTCACATGATGGTCCATGATGAAACCATCATAACATTATATTTTATTTATCGCCACATTAAGAAAACATCAATACCGGTAATGCTTGAATTCCCAACTCAGTCATACTTTTGATACTCCGAACTAGCTAATTCTAAGCAACTGCTAACAAACCAAGAGCTTCCTTATACATAAATAATAAATAAACCGTTTGGGATGTTGGAGACAAAAACATTTGCGCTAACTTTTTTTCTCAAAATTTTGACTGAGAAAATTTATATATATATATATCTATATATAGATATATATATATCTATATATAGATATATATATAAACACGGCCAAATCCTTCGTAATCTTTACCATCGACAGGCTGCAGCCATATCCTCAATTTCTTGTTTTCCAGCCACTTATGTTAAAATTAGCATGTTCCCATTCTCTAGCTTTCTGTGCCTCGAGCTTTACGATCAACTGGAAGCAGTTCCACGCAAACACGTGGAACCAGTTAAATCTGATATATTTGACAATTTTTTTTCTTTTATATAAAGCATTTTAAATGGCATGATAATCACATTTAATGAATGTTAATGCCAATTAAGGCCTTAATTAAAAAAATAATAATAATTTAATGACTTTTAATGATTTTCTGACTCGCAGAAAACCCTGTTCTGTAGAAGGTGGTGAGGATGGGTGGGGGCAGGTGGGCTCTCCTCATCCTTTGCAAGAAGTACATGCGCTTTTGTGCGCTTTTGATCAGAACATATTCTCGTAATTCTCCTACTTTATTTACTTTATTATCATAACGTTACAGCCTGTCAAAAATAAAATCTCTAATAGGACTTCTCTGCTACTATGCACACATCCTATAATGTCTCCTCCTCTTCCTCCTCCCCCCACCTCCCCGCTGAGGGTCCGCTCTCCCAAAGACATTGTCAGACTCCTTAGTGGCGAGAGGACCGTTCAACCATTAAATAGCGAATCTGCACCTCTACCCGGTGGATTTAAGAATGGATCCTTCACTGGTACAGCTTTGATGAATACTGCCGGGGTTTGGCTTTGTATCTTTTTTATGTAAGATGTTTTTTTTTTGTTTTTTTTTAATGGACGCTCATATGGTAGGCTATCCTTTAAGGACCGCAAATATTTTTTTACAGCAATCGTCATTTTAGGACAGCTCTAACCGCTGAGGATGATCTATTTTCAGAGACACACTAAAGACTCATCATTGCATATATAACTGCATTGAACGGTAAAGTAAACAGTTAACATTTACAAAATAACCAAAGGAGTTAAATTACAACTTTTTCAACCAACCCGTTCGTCTGATATGTGCAGATCAACAAAGTGTCTCATTAGCTTTTTTTCTTTCTTTCTTTTTTATTATAAGATTATTTTTAAGCTGGACTATAAACTTTTACATTTAAAACGCAAAAGTTATGCATTTAAATGCGCGCGGACGGGAATCAGTCGATCTGCGTATTTTATCTTTGTTTTTTACTCATTCACATTGAAACATTTTATATTTAACGACAAACGACGTTTTTTGAAATCCTTGATATGAGTAAGTTAGTTAAAAAAGAAAAAGAAAAAAAAGAAAGGCGGCGGGCGGAGCCAGCCGCTTCGGGCGTTATCATCGCATCAAATGGCCGTTATTAGCGGTTATCAGTCCCATAAAATAGTTTATTTTTTTATGACCGAATAAAACCGTAACACTAAGGTAATTCCTTTTTTACCTGCTGGATTAATTCATGTATATATGTGAACATAATTGTAGCAGCTCTACATCTATTGTAAAAATAAATAAATAAATAAAATAATAAAAACATATTCTGTCAACCGAGGTTTTTTTTTGTAAAACTATATTCAATCCGTGTGGCTGAAACATGTGGAATTCACTCAAAGAACAACTTTAAAACGCAGTTTTTCTTTTAAGTCAGTAGGCTGTAAATAAAGTACATAAAAAGTATCTAGTAGGTATATAAAGTGAAAAA